TCTGGGTGTGGACAGCATCCTGCAAGGTGATACACATGTAACACTTTCCTCAGGGTGTGGCACTTAAGTGCATTCAGTAACAATGTGTCAGATCCTAGTGACAGCAGTGAATTCACTGTGGCTGTGACTGTACCCATTTTGTAGATGTTGAAACGGGAATCAGAGATTCAGTGAGATGCTCACTGAGGTGGTAAGTGGCAAAGCTGGAGCTTTAGCCCAGTTCTTCATCAGGGTGTCCCGCATCTTTTCTTCTAAGAGTTCAGCTCTGCAGCCAGTGGAATGGACACCCAGTAAACCAGCCAGGAATTGAGTGGTCCTTCATGATCAAGATTATCGTCTCATTATGTGTGCACTCAGTCTTTTGCAGAACGCTCTTTCCCAGCCTCTTCCCCCATCTGTATACTGAAGCTGTTGGCCAAAAGTGATCCTGAGATTCATGATGACAGCCCAGGATTACGGCAGCCTAATACAGGGTTCCTGGTCCCAATAGCCGTGGGACCAGTTCGCTTTTCTCTCTGGACTTTAGATCTGTGATCTGTACCATGGGTACTGTTTCCCGCAGAGTACTTGGAAGATTTAACATGTGGGAGGAAGCCCCTGACACACTGTGGGTGCTGGATTCAGACCAGTTCCTCCCAGTACCCAGTGGTGATCACTTCAGTCACTACATCTGAGTGCTTATCCGAGTCTGGAGAAACATTTATTATGGTTAAGTCTTCACTTTCTAGGGTGGAAACTGCTATAATTGTGGTTACAGGAGTGGAAATGACTTTAAGAGCCAAGTAGCAAAACCTTGTCTTAGTACTTATTCATTGTGTGTCTTTCAGTATGTTGCTTAACTTCTCTGTGTCTTTGCCTTCTATCCATTAAATAGGAGCATGCTGGTGAGGTTAATGGAATTAATTTATGCAAAGTGCCTGGAATACACGTACCATGGTCTTCTTAAGGCCTCAGTCCCTGCTAGCTTTCGTCATCCTAATCTAGGAATGTCCGTCTGGTCAGCAGCCCTGCCTGTGACACGTGAGCAGAAGCCAACTCACAGGTTGCTGCTGCCTGGCACCCCAGAGTTTGGGAGAGTTGTGGTTCTCTCAGTCCCACTTTTCAAGCACCCCCCCCCATCCTCTTCCTACCCTGGCTTTCATCCCAGGAATTGTGCACTTTTTTGTATTTATAGAAACATTAGGAGCAGAAACAATCTCAGGGAAAGGAGGAGCAAAGCCCCCTCCACTTGCCCAGGTCTGCCTTCCTCTGCCAGGCGGGCACTGGGGACGGAACCGCAGCTCCTTCAGGCCTGAGGAGGAAGCCAGAGGGTGTGCACAGTGTGACTCTCCCTGGCTTGCTGAGTCTGCGAAGGTGTGCACAGTGTGACCCTCCCTGGCTTGCTACATCTGGAAGGTGTGCACAGGTGTATTTTTCTCCGGTTTGTTGAGTCAGGGGAGGTGTGCACATGTGTGACTGGTTTGCTGAGTCAGGGGAGGTATGCACAGGTGTGACTGGTTTGCTGAGTCAGGGGAGGTGTGTACAGGTGTGACTGGTCTGCTGAGTCAGGAAGGATGTGCACAGGTGTGACTCTGGTTTGCTGAGTGTGGGGAAGGTGTGCACAGGTGTGACTCTGGTTTGCTGAGTCAGGGAAGGTGTGCACAGGTGTGACTCTGGTCTGCTGAGTCAGGGGAGGTGTGCACAGGTGTGACTCTGGTTTGCTGAGTCAGGGGAGGTGTGTACAGGTGTGGCTGGTTTGCGGAGTCAGGGAAGGTGTGCACAGGTGTGACTCTGGTCTGCTGAGTCAGGGAAGGTGTGCACAGGTGTGACTGGTTTGCTGAGTCAGGGGAGGTGTGTACAGGTGTGACTCTGGTCTGCTGAGTCAGGGGAGGTGTGCACAGGTGTGACTCTGGTTTGCTGAGTCAGGGGAGGTGTGCACAGGTGTGACTCTGGTTTGCTGAGTCAGGGAAGGTGTGTACAGGTGTGACTGGTCTGCTGAGTCAGGAAGGATGTGCACAGGTGTGACTCTGGTTTGCTGAGTGTGGGGAAGGTGTGCACAGGTGTGACTCTGGTTTGCTGAGTCAGGGAAGGTGTGCACAGGTGTGACTCTGGTCTGCTGAGTCAGGGGAGGTGTGCACAGGTGTGACTCTGGTTTGCTGAGTCAGGGGAGGTGTGTACAGGTGTGGCTGGTTTGCGGAGTCAGGGAAGGTGTGCACAGGTGTGACTCTGGTCTGCTGAGTCAGGGGAGGTGTGCACAGGTGTGACTGGTCTGCTGAGTCAGGGGAGGTGTGCACAGGTGTGGCTGGTTTGCTGAGTGTGGGGAAGGTGAGCACAGGTGTGTTCTTCCCTGGCTTGCTGAAGCAGGTAGGTGCACAGGTGTGATTCTCCGTGGCTTGGTGCAGGTGGGGAGGTGCTGGTTCTTCCACGTTTACCCAGATCAGAGCTGCGTGCCCTTCAGTAACAAGCTGTACCCATAACATATTGGCTTCTTTGCTCATTTCTTAATTCCAACTGCTAGTTGAAGGAATTAGTCACATGGATAGATGCCTCTCTTCATTCTCACTGTGCTCTGAGCTATCCTGAGGATATAGGAGATGTGTACTTTGAAGAAGCCGCGGGGCCCGGCTGTTGTGAGGAGGAGACAGTGCGTCCCACAGTGCTGCACAGATGCTTCTCTTGCAGGGCCTAGCGTGGAGCTGCACACTCCCTCTGAAGGCTGCGACTCCTTTGCCTGCAGAGCTCTTGCAGCAGGGAGCTTCTGCCATTCCAGGTGCTTAGTTCTGGCTTGGGAAGCAGTTGGGTGCAGAAAAGATACTGAAAGGCATTTACCTAGGAAAGTTGTGAAGTGGGTTATAGTAAGTCCAATTGTGTGTGTGTGTTCACTTAGCAACAGGTAAACTGAGGCTCAGAGTTGTGTTGAATGTCCGTGGCTATGGAGCCTCCAGCTGGCCATCTCTTGGTGGCTAGATGACTTCTCAGCCCTCCCCCCCCCCCCCACCCCGCCACTCCCCGGGTCTGTTTGTCCACAGATCTCCAACCTGGTGCCTCATCTCCCACGTAGACTGTGCCATTCTAGTCTTTGACAATCTTTGGGGACATTGTGAGAAACTCTTCCCCACTCATAATTTGGGGTTTTAATTCTGTCCAGAAGCAAATTGGAGTCTCCCGGCTGGCATTGTCTTGTGACGTTTTCTCCTGTTCTCTTAGTCTCCTGTGTAAGGCTTGACTTGGCGAGGTTATTACCAAGTCACTCACTAACAAAGCTGTCTTAGAAGATGCTTGTTAAAAACGTGGACTGGCCACATACATATATTAACAAGCCTTGCAGTTAAGCAGGTGTGAGACTCATCCAAGATCACTCACTTGCTGGAACTGCTCCTTGGATGAATACTGCTTTGGCAGCAGCCCTGGGAAGCTTCCAGGCCTTGTCGGTGTCAGCTCCAAGTCTCCTTTACACACCTGCTCTACACCGGTGTCACAGGCATCTGCATGACCTCTGTGGTGACAAGGTTTCTTTGACTTTCAAACAACCTCTGTCATGCATAGTCCGAGCTCATTGCAGGGATCATGTAGCTAGTTATGCCACTCGCCATCCCATGGCAGTAACAAGTGAAGGATAAGTGACCCCGGAAGACAGGCATCAAGCAGGAATCTCCCAAAGTGCTTGAGCTTAGTTAGTCTGGAGGTAGTGTGTAGAGCACTCTCAAAGTATTTTGAGAGATTGTGGTCTTTTGGATGAATTCTCTCTCTCTCTCTCTTCCAGTCCTGGGGCTTAAACTTAGCTCGCTGAGCTTCTTTTGCTCAATTCCAGTGCTCTACCACTTCAGCCACAGCACCACTTCTGTTTTTGTTTCTGAGTAGTTTATTGGAGATAAGAGTCTCATGGACCTTTCTGCCTGGGCTGGCTTCAAACTGTGATTCTCAGATCTGAGTAACTAGGATTCTAGGCAGGAGCTACCAGTGCTTGGCATGAGTTTTTCTTTTTCTTTTTATAAAAGAGCATCTTCTGGTCATGACTGTCCCACTAGGAAGCCCCTCACCCCGACAACACGCGACTTCTCCCTTGAACATAGATACAGATTTCCAAATCGTATTGGTCTCCAGTTGTCCTCCTCACACCCCTGGTTTATTCATGGACGTGTTGGATATGATACTGTGATACTGTGATCCCAAAAAGTTCCTCATAAGGAAGTAATGTAAATGATTTTTGTGCGTGTATTCTGGAATGTTCCAAAGCAATCTACTAAGTATGGGAAACTGGATTCAAGAGACTCCATAGGGGAGGTAGAAACCCTGGCCTTTGAAGCCTGACCTTGCTGCTCACCAGCTGTGTGCCCTCATACACAGCATTTAATCCTTGAGCCCAGAAACGTTGGTCACGGGGCCATCACTAGCACTTAAGAGGGTCCTGGAATCATGGGACTGCGCACAGACCCTGCCTTGTGGTAGGTCTTGCAGTGCGTTGAGTCTTGGTTGCCTCTGGGGCCCTCTAGGTTGATGACGCATGTGTTGAATATAGGTGTGGAGGAAGGGACTTGGAAAAGGGAGAGGAAGGGTACTATGCAAAAAGGCTAAGCTTTAAGTGTGCAGGGAAAATGGATATTCTACAGAAGAATACCACAAGGGAATGAATTGACTGCTTCTGAGCAGGCCCCACACCACCATGTTGCCAGAGATATGGGAAGGAGAAGCCCACAGCTCCCCAGCCTTCCACTGTGGAGAAAAAGAGGGGTGTTCCTGGCACTGATCACCCATCACAGACTACTCTTTTCTGTTTAAAAAGCCACCACTTTAAGTGTGGCTCCCAGCAATTACAAATCCATTCTAGCCTATAATCAGACCTTTGGTTTACTGTGTATTCTCTAAATATAGACAAATCATGCGCCTTTGTTTGAGGTCAGGAGTTTAGTGTGAGCGTCCTGTGAGTGAGTGGAAATGAAGCTAACTCTAACTAATTATCAATCAGCCCTTCTGAATGCAAACCGACATCCTCATAAAGGATTGTTTGTTATTTCTTCTAGGCAATTTCTTTCCTCACACCCTTGGCTGTTATTTGTGTGGTGAAAATCATCCGACGAACAGACAAGACTGAAATTAAGGAAGCCTTCTTAGGTAGAGTATTCAGTTCTTGTTTTAAGGGAAGGGGATGAATTTGATGAGATCATCACATTTTAAAAGTTGAAGTTGCAACCTACCCAACTGAGTCTTCATGCAGTCAGATTCAGCTCAGGAGAAATAAGACAGGATATGCTTTATTCTTATTTTTGAATGTTTGTATTATCTTTAAGTAGATGTACAGAGCAGTTGCCACTCACCAAAACAATTTATGAGTATAGTGCCTCTTGATCAGGGTCACCCTCTTCAATGTTCTCACCCATCCCTCCCAATCCGCCCCTTCTCTTACTTAATTTTGGGTTATCTATTGAATTTTTTTGCCTTTTAACAAAGCAGTATGTGTACAATGAATCTTGATTTGTGTTATCACTTCAACATCTTCACTCTCCTTCGACTCTCCCCTCCCCTTGTATTTCTCAATTCTATGGTATATACAATGAACTTTAAAGCCAAAGAGCCAGTTAGGCAATTATTTTGTAAGTAGGGATAGTTCAGAGGGGCCTCATGATTGCTGTCCTTGGTGCTGACTGCTGAAATGGCGTGACATCAGAAATCTGGGTTGCTTAGCCACACAGGCAGGGTGCCTCTTGGCTCAGACAAAGCCAAGTTGAAATTCTGCCCAATCTTATGTATTTATGTATAATAGGTCCCATGCTCTAGGCCTATTCAGGAAGGAAGTAAAAACAAGTATTAACTAAAACAGATATGGAAAGCAAGGCCCATAACTCGACCTTCACCTTGGAGAATGCTTCGGCAGTTAAGCAATTGCTGTTAGGTGAAGAATGCTTCCATCTTTGTCATTGATTGTAACACTATGGTTATAAATTATCCCTGTGCCCAGCCAGGTTGGCATGTGACACAAGTGTGACATTTGGGAATTGAATGTTTCTCTGGTCCGAATAGTAATCAAATGTTACTTTAAGTGACAGGTGTGAGAGATAACTAATTATATTTGACTTGTTTGGCATACACTAACCTGTAGCTCAATTTTTAGTTCTTTGGTCCTGAGGAAAATTGAATTAAGTTGATAGTTTTGTTGACACTGCATATTAAAGATATCCCAATCTTTACCTTTAAATTTGTGTTTGGTATGTAGTATGGATTTTGCCTTCTAGGGTGATAATAAATTTGTAAAAAAAAAAAAAAAAAGAGATTTCTTACCAAAGGATATGTTTGTTAATTATGGAGCTTGAGAGAAATGCAAACAGAGCCAAATACAGTCATTTCTTTTCTTGGTGAAGGAACAAGTGTGACTTTCAATCAAGGAGAAGTAGAAGAGTTGAGGGCTGGTTTTATATAACCAGGCTTTAGTTAGGCCCTGTCTACTTGAAAAGAACAGCAAAACAGTGTCCTTCTCAAATTAGCTCAAATAAATTAGTGGCTTCATTACGGAGCTAAAATAAGAAATCTCACAGACTCCAAGAAGAGGAGGGGAAGAGAACACAACCGAGGTGCTTGCGGGGGTGGGGGGATTGGGGGAATGCGGTGGGGAGCTGGGACAGGAGGGGAAAGGACAGCCCTTCCTCTCATGACCAGCTCTGCCTGAAAGATTCCTTTATTTCCTTTCCCACTCCCTGCTCACAGCCAAACCTGGGTTACGTTGCTGCTCCCCCAGCCCTGTGGTGAGTGTGAGTCTTGGGTTCACAGTGGTGAACCACAGCCAACCACTGGTTTTACCTTGTTTCTTGGCTCAGGCTTTCTGGAGAGAGATTCTGATTCAACTCATTTCTCCAGATTGATTACAAAATCGTCAGTCTGAGAACAGCCTGGGGTGGCCCTCCTTCAAGTTGGTGTGTACCGCACACCCCCGCCCCCAAATGTCTTCAGAGTTTAGGCACGTGGCCTTGGTCTCTTCACCTGAGATGGCAGAAAGACCAGTGTCTCTATGAAGAGTACTGATACCTTCTAACTCTGGGCTCCAGGGGTCAGGCAGTGTGTGGACAGGGGTCACAATGGTCCCCCCAAATGTCCAGTTAGACAGCCTCTTATTTAGCTTGGAAGTCACTGGGCTTCCCTCTTTCTCCCAGTTGCTCTCTCGGCACAGTCCTGAGATAAATGGTAGTGGGGAAGAGCTGTCTCTCGTAGCGGTGGCAATAATTTCCTGCTGGCTTTCAGAGCTGGGTGGTTGCAGTGGCCATAAGTAGCTCCCGGTTACCTTCTGCAGATGTTTTCATTCTCAGCTAAATCTCCCTTAAGGTGACGTCTCAAAATCGTTCAGCGTCTTCTGCCTCCTGTATGCTCACTGAGAAGGCAGAATTATTGGATGTTTGCTGGCTGAAATAAATGAGCACTTGTCCTGTAAAAAAGACGGAGGGCCCTCATTGCGCATGAGTTTTACAACAATCGTTGCTTTTCGGGAGTCTTGGAAGTAAGAGGTGGAAGTAAGAATGACCTTTAAAACCAAAGACAGAAACATTGGGGAAGTCTGAGAGAGGGGCTTCTTTGGTGGGATCCTGCCTTACTCAGGTGTCTTCAGTATACTTCAACCCAAGCTCTTCAACATGAGCCCCAAGGACTCCCCTTCACTGCATATGCGCAGTGGACCCATCTGGCCATCTGGTGCTGGGGGAGATAGCAGCCTTTGCATGTGCGGCATCGGGCTGGTAGCTGTTTAGGCTGAAACACAGCCAGGACTTCGTCATGATCCTGCTATCGCTGTAGCAGGATCACCCAATCACCTGCAATGCTTCTTTCTATCCAGTGGTGCTCTCAGTATGAGAGCTCCTCACCAACCAATCCACAGGATGCATTGCTTTGAATTTGATAGCCTGCTCTGGCTCTCAGATGGTTCTGTCAAACTCACAACGTTAAGAGTCGGTCAGCATTAACAGTATCAGGACCATGCATTGTTCTGCTTGTCCAGCCTGTCAGGCAACTTCTCTGTCTGTGAATGGTAGTGCGAGAGGTTCCTGAGTTGGTTCCCGTGGATTGGGCTGTTGCGACGAAAATATGAATCAGCTCTGTACTTTCAGCATGCTGAACCAACCCTGCCACAAATCGCCACCGATCCCAAGTCCCTTCCTTCTCTGTCACCTCCAGCTGTTTAGAGGAGCTGTTGGTGGTGTCACAGCCTGCATGTTCTCTAGCTCAGCTACATCAGGCTTTTTGAGTAACTGTTCTGTGCTGTGAAGCTGATCAGGCACAGCGTGTAGGGGAGTGAATGGGGTTGTGGATTGGTGTAGCTGGGTAGGAAGATTTATTGTGGGGCCCTGAGACATGCCAGTGATGGTGTGTGGTGGAGAGCTCATCTGTGCCAAGGCCGTGCTCCAAACGGGGCAAGACTGAGTTTAGCCACACTGGGACAGACAGCCAGCTGGGATCCTGCTGCGGTGGGCCAACACCAACAGGGAAAGACCCCAGTTGTTCCCTTCCCATTTCACAGGCTGTTCATTGTTTTGGCTCCAGGACAGAATACAACCATTATAACCTTAGGAGTTTTCTCTGTAAAAGAGAACACCAGTGTTCTGGGTGAGAGGAGGGGAGAAAAAAAGAAGATCTGGCCTTTTAGGAAGGAAAGGTTGGTGTGTACAGAATGCTATTAGCGGATCTTTCTGAGTCCTCTACGCTCAGTTCTAATTTACGCACGCTTGGTGTTTTGATGGTGCTGCTGTGTTTCTGGCTCATGCTCTGCTCTCCACTTGGGGCCGGATTAGTTTTTCCTTCCACAAAGGCATTCCCTTCCGTGTGTCCCTCCCCTGCCCTGCTTCCTACAACTTGTTGAAAGCGAGCGGGAGTTTTTGCCTGTTGTCTGTGGTCTGTGCACAGGGTGATCGCATTGGTCATTTCCCTGGTACTTTCTGCTTGTAGAACAACACATCTGTCTCCTTTGATAGCCATAAATTGCTGGAGGCAATTCCTTCCTGAAAACGGCTCTTCCACGGCTCCATTCTTACATAAATCTCAGCTAGTATTGAACAGTTTAATATTTGCCAAAGGGAAATGGTAGCTCCCACGCTTTAGTATTCAACACAGCAATGGAATGGGCTTTCAATAGTTTTTTACTGCTTAGGCAAGGCATTTTGAGCTGCTGTCGCCTTGATGGTGATGACTGTACCTTTTGTGTACTTCTGATAAGCCGCAGGGGAGAGGGAGAGGCTTGCAGGGAAAGCCTGTGGATTCCTGTTACTGGCATTCTCTAGAAGGTCTGTACTTTATCCAGCAGAGATTTTCTAAGTGGTTTCGAGAAGGTCCCTGGACTGCATACTTTAAAATAATCTATTCCAGAAGTCCCTGCCATTTTAGATGTCAAAAAGCACCACCTGGACTCTTCACCTTCTGGGAAACGGTGATTTGTTTGATAACAAATGGCCAGCCATTGCCAGATGATGGTTATTAGTGAGCCAGTGGCCAGGGTGGCTGGAGGTGACAGTTCTTCAGTGGGAGTCCAGCAGCTGCTCTCATTAGAATTATGTCGAAGAAGGTTGCCAGGAGGAAATAAAAATGTTAGGTTTCTTGCTACCAGTAAAAGAAATTCTGCATGATGTACTATTAAATCTGTTTGTGTCAGGGCAGAAAAAGATAGACAGCATCTTCTGTGATGTTGAAAATTTCAGTCAGGGAGCAGAGATAACATTTCACGTCATATGGTCTTGGAATGTTACATTTTATTCTCCATATTCCTGGTCCAAGTAGATTTTACTCTTAACAACTAAAATGCCCCCCTTTTAAAGAATTGTTTCATCTATCCATTGTCATAAATTAAGCAGCAAAAGGTAACTGTGATGATGGCGGTGGTGGTGGTGGTGGTGGTGGTGGTGGTGGTGGTGGTGGTGGTGATTATGATGGTGATGATGATGGTAATGGTAATGATGGTGATGATAATGATGATGATGATGATGATGATAAAGATAGTGGTGATGGTGTTGATGTGGTGGTGGTGGTGATTGAGGTGATGTGTGATGATAATAGTGGTGATGATAATGACGATGATAAATATGGTGCAATGATAATGGTGGTGGTGGTATTGGTGGTGATGTGCGAAGATGGTGATAATCAAGTTGGTGATGATGATGAGAAAGATTCCGGGAGGATGATCGTGGTGACAGGGATGGCTTTTGACTTGAGATCCAGCTGGTTATTTTTATATCTGTTGGTTTTGTTTTGTAGCGGTGTCCCTGGCTCTTGCTTTGAATGGAGTCTGCACAAACACTATTAAATTAATAGTGGGAAGGTAAGTTCCAAAAAGAAACGAATGATGACTTAGAGTCTGAAGGACCTGGCCAGAGAACACGGGATGGGAAAGATTTGAGCTCTTCTGCTTTTCCCTTAAATCGAGCTTTCTGCCTTCAGCACAGATCTTTCTTCTCCTTTGAATTATAAAGCTATACTTTAGAGAACAGGAGATTGGTAGTGAGGAAGTATTCTCTGAGTGCATCTTCCTATGATCCCAGGCCTGCCCCTGGATCATGGGTGTCTGAGTGATAAAGATTGGTCATGCGCTCCAGCCACTGCTACCTCTGGGTTTTACCACAGCCACTTGTCAGTTTGGACCTTTAATAAATAAATGAGTTTCCTTATTCTTCTCTTTGGGATGAGGTCTACATATTAGCCTTTGAGATTTGGGTTATGGCATATTTGTCTTACTATCCCTGAGAAATGATTTCTGTTCTCTATCTGTCTTTCCTTTTCCTCTGTCTGCTGAGTAGAGAACACATCTCTGTAAAGATTGAAAGTCCAGAGGCCTCAATTCGATGCCTAGTTTGGACCCTGACTACCTCTTAGCATTGGTTAAATTAAGTCTTTTTTCAAAACCTCAACATTTAGTGAATGTCAGCCTGATGCTGGGTGCTGACCAGGCCCTGAAGGGCAAATAGTGGATAAAAATCCATCAGTGCATACACACATAAGAGCTGCAGAGTTCCTGCTCTGTGCACTCAGCATTGTCCTAGCAACTCAGATAAAATGCAGATTCTCAGGCCAGCCCTCCCTGAGGTTTGTTTGAGCAGGCAGATTCACACTAGAGAAACACTGGCTGAGTTGGGGAAAGGCAATGTGCCAGCAGCGCTGACAGCTTGCTGAGGCTGCCTAGATCCCAATGAGTCTGCGTGTGTCCACTGGTCCAGTCTATACAGAACCATGTGCTGTGCTTGCAGCATCAGCAAAGCCTCCTCTGTGCTCGGGGTTCAAGCATGGGCTGAATTACCATGAAGCAGCGAATGTGCATGTAACGACTTGGTGCATATGCATGTACAAATCCTTGCTTGAGTGGGGCAGTTGAGCTTGGGGTGACATGTGAAGGCATAGGATCTAATATTGGGGTTCAGACCTTGTTGTTGCCACTTGCTGGTTTGTGTGACCTGGGATAGGGGTGCCCTCTTCCTAAGCCCCTGGCTTGGCTTTGGGGATTCTTCTGTAAGTTGTGTAGTATGGTAGGGATCCTCCTGGAAGCCATGTGATGTGGTGGGAGGCTTCTAGAAGTCATGATATGGTGTGTTGGGGGGTCTTCTAGAAGTCACATGATGTGGCAGGCATGTCTACATCCTGTAAATATGTAATAAACCTTAGCTGTGGTTGCTGCGGGAAGCTCAGCTTCAGGACCCCGGCTTCTCTTCTCTCTAGAGGCCTCTGAGCCCTGTCCTGTGCCAGGGCTGCCAGCCTGGGTCCCTGTGCTGAGCACATCCTACAGCGGAGCTGTCAGCCTCACAGTAAGGTGGAGTGAGCCCTATTGTTGGAGGAAGGGCTGTTGGCCACTGAAATGCAGGATACAGGGACACGCACGGCTAGATTCTGGGAGCAGTGTCTGGACTGACAGAGGAGTAGATGGAGGCAAGAAGTATCCTTTATTCTGTGAGGGCTGTCTTCAGGCACCTCCTGTAAGACAGGTTAATAACGCTCAGGACTTCCCCTTGGGCTAGATATTTATTTCTCCCTTTTACAGGTGTTCACACTGGGGCCGAAAGAGGTTGTGACCTCCCTAAGGCCACAACACTAGCAAGTGGCAAGCAAGGCTCCCAACGCGTAGCTTTCTGACCCCAACCACCGTGTCTGGGAGGGCTGTGTGGAGAGGCCCACTGGGGATGGCGCATGGGGGCAGGAGGAAGGGGCGGGCGGGTCAGCGTGGGGCTCCTGTGTGATGGCAGCATTTTATATTGAAAATGTCCATGGTGTCTTTTGTAGACCTCGCCCCGATTTCTTTTACCGCTGCTTTCCAGATGGAGTGATGAACTCGGAAATGCACTGCACAGGTGACCCAGACCTGGTGTCAGAGGGCCGCAAAAGCTTCCCCAGCATCCACTCCTCCTGTAAGTTCCCAGTGCGGGGGTCCTCTGCGGCCCGCTGCGCGCGTCTCCTGATCGCTCCCTTGGTGTGTGAATGTAAAGTGCCGCTCATTTTTCTTCCTCACTGGAGGGTGGTTGGCTCAGAGATGAGATGTTCCACGGGAGGGAGTAAGCCTGCAGAGGAGGCTCTGGAGTTTGCCCAACACTCTACACATTGTTTGGACTCCTGGCCTCAGAACTATGAGAGAAGGAAGGCCTGCTGTGTCAAGCCTCTGAGTGTGCCATGCTCTATTGTAGCAGCCCTAGCAAATAGATGGAGATCTGGATCTAGTACTTAAAAAATTAGCGTGAAGGATTTGACTTTAGCATCATGAAGGAATTTGGGAAAAACCTGTCACCATGTGTATCCTGCTTTCTGAGGTCCCTGTGACCACCCTCCCTGCTCCCCCCAAAGAGGCACGATGATGTGTAATAGTGTAACGCAGGGCTCAGAGGTCACACCTGCCACGTGAACCAGCACATCCACCTGACTTGGTTTTCAAGGTGACGCCACCGTTTGGGAGGGGTTGTAGACATAGGCCACGGGGTTCCCTCTAGATGGACCCATTGCATCCTTGTTGTTAGGCTCCTGGAGTGACATTCACCTGGGATCAGGCCTATGAGAAGGTTGGACTCTAGAGGGCATGTGCACTGTGCCTTCCCCAGGGACTGGGCATAGGAGCACAAAGGTATTCCCAATGGGGAAGTGTGTCTCATAGAAAAATCTCATCTTCTGATTAGGTATTGACTCATCTTCCAAGAAGAGGATAGATGTTAAGAGAGAAAAGCAGAGGCAAGCAGATAATGCCAAGTCAAGCTACTAAGAAATGTTTAGGGGAGGGAGACGCTGTAGAAGCTCACACTGGTAATTCTAGCTACTCAGGAGGGTGAGGTCCTGCGGATCATTATTCCATGCTAGGTTGGGCAGAAAAGTCTACAATATTCCATCTCCAAAATAACTAGCAAAAAGCTAGGCTTGAGGTATGGCTCAAGTGGTAGAGAATCAATGGAGCTAGCAAAATTGAGCAAGTGTGAGCCCTAAATTCAGACCATAGGACTGGGAAATAAAAAAGAAAAAGTGCAGAGTGTGTAAAGTTGAGGGGGTGGGGTGGGAAGGGAGGTCTGAAACTTTGATCAAAGCAATAGTGTCAGGAATGGGAGGGGAAACTGGAGGGTGGCATCCTCCAAAACAGAAATGAACCCGTTGCCTGAATGGTACAATGGTAACCTTTCTGTACAACATCTTGTTAAAATTGTATATTTAAAAAAATGAGACATCAGAGCTGGGAATATGGCTCAAATAGTAGAGCTGCAGCTGTGAACAAAAAAAAAACACAAGCAAATGTACCAAGCCCTGGTACTGGCATGTGCACACATACATAAACTCATAAACACACACACACACACAGCACGTGACAGCATGTGGACCACATGCAGAAGCTGCTCATTTTGTAAATGAAATTTTATTGGAACACAGAGATGGCTGTTTGTCACTTTAAAATGACACAGAGGTGTTGCAAAAGAGACTTGGGATCCACAGAACTAAAACTTTATTATCTGGCCCTTTGCAGAGAAAGTTCACAAAACTTGGCAGGTCCCTATGCTGCAAATCAGTAGAGTTACAAAACATTACTAAGCCAGGCACAGTGATGCAGCTTGTAATACTAGCACTCAGGAGGTAAAAGCAGGATGATCATGCAGGCCAACTTGGGCTACATAACGAAGCCCCATCTTAAGATGTAACAAAACATAAGGAATATATAAATGCAGAATGACACATTCAGATTGTGACATGGATGGCGTGTGTGTGTGTGTGTGTGTGTGTGTGTGTGTGTGTGTGTGTGTGTGTTTATGTGTTTATGTATGTGTGCACATGCCAGTACCAGGGCTTGGTGCATTTGCTTGTGTTTTTTTTTTGTTCACAGCTGCAGCTCTACTATTTGAGCCATATTCCCAGCTCTGATGTCTCATTTTTTTAAATATACAATTTTAACAAGATGTTGTACAGAAAGGTTACCATTGTACCATTCAGGCAACGGGTTCATTTCTGTTTTGGAGGATGCCACCCTCCAGTTTCCCCTCCCATTCCTGACACAGGTTGCATAGTTAATTGTCCATGTAGTGTATACTGAATACAATTGCATCGTTCACCCTTCCTCCCTCCTTGTATGCACACCCCTTTTGCTCCCCTAAGAAACAGAAGAAGAAAAAGGACACACATACCATGACCACCACTACCACCACCAACATAAGTAACCCATGTTTCCATTTCCTGCACTTTGATAAATGGTATTTCATGTGTTCAGGAAAGTTAAGCCTTGGGGCTCCCCACCTACCGGTATCCTCCTTTGGTTTGACTGTGTGTAAATGCCTGTAGCTGTGTATAGGTTCTCATATCCAGTTATAGTTTAAACCTGCTTTCAATATGAGAGAAAACATGCCATTTGTCTCTGGGAGAATGGCTTACCTCGCTTAATATGATTTGTTCTAGGTCCATCTATTTCCCTGCAAATGACATAATCTTATCCTTTCTAATGGATGAGTAAAATTCCATTGTGTATAGGTACTACAGGTTTTGGATCCACTCATCGGCTCTAGGGCATCTGGACTGTTTCCATAATTTGGCAGTTGTGAATAGTGCAGCAATGAATATAGATGTATAGCAATGTCTCATTTTTAAACAATACTTTTCCAGGATAAAACTTGGCAGTTGTTGTCTATCCTTTTTTTCAGAGCTTTTATATTTGTTTATTCTTCATTTAACTTTTAAAACACTGTAGTAGTACAACAAAAAACAATAGCAAGTAGTGAGCTTATTATGATTAGTCCTTCACTCATTCACTACTGCATTTAAAATGCCAGTAGTGGGTGCTATTCACTGGTCCCATTACAAGATTTGACACTGAACACCACCTCTACAGTGATGTTCATCATCCTTGTAAGCTTCTCCATTATAATGGCACCGTCTTTCCTGATTTGGATCAAGGTCTACCAGTTCTACCTGATCCATTTCATTAGTCTCTTCTACTTCCTTCCTCTCAGGAAGGAGTTTTTCCAGCAAAGAGGGTTTGTCAGAAGAGAGGAAGCCATTTTCAGGAAAGTTTACCTTAACCTCAATGATCAGGCACCCTTTTTCATATGGTTGTCGATAAGTTGGCATGCCTTCACTTAGCACACACGTGATATCTCCAGGCTTAACAATCTGACCTGGATGAGAAGTGATGACTATGGTTTGGTTATCAAGAGTGGAGATTGGCTTTGGGAAGCCACACAATGCTTCAACTAGTTGTATATCCATACACATGCAAAGGTCTTCTCCTCGTCTTGTAAAAACAGCATGGTCCTTCTGATCTAATACAATGATGATGTGTCCGGGCTCCAATCCTGGTTCCTGGTCTCCTTCACCATGGAATGTTATCTTCTGGCCACCTTTCATGCCTTTGTCAATATGAACTTCCAGAATCTTCTTCTCTTGAACTATCTTCCTTCCATTGCAGCTTTTACATCTATCTTTAGGACTGATCCTTTCTCCATGGCCCTAGCACTCCATGCACACAGACTGAACTTGCTGAACCATTCCAGGTCCTATCTGATGAATTTTGCATCCCAGTACCTCAGCAGTTGGGACAGCACTCCACTGCACCCCCCCCCTCTTTTTTTTTTTTTTACCACCACGGCCTTCACATTTGTCACAAATCACATTCTTCTGCAGAGCCAGTTTTCTTGTTGCACCGTTATATAAATCTTCTAAGGTAACTGAGAGTTGATGCACAACATTTTTACCTCGCCTTTCTCTCTGTGTCCTTCCTCCTTCTCCAAAAAACATATCAAAGATGTCCATGGGGGAGCCAAAACCACCACCTGCTCCACCCTCCTTAATTGCCTGTTCTCCTCCTTTGTCATATAATTCTCTTTTCTTGGCATCAGAGACAACCTCATAAGCTGAAGAAATCTGTTTATATTTTTCTCCTTCATTTGGATTCTTACCGGGTGGTATTTCAAGGCTATTGTCTATTCTTAAATGGAAGAGAAAGTCTAAAAGGTATATCTGGAAGACAGCAGATTTCTTCTTGAGCCATTACTCTCCATAGGTACTTGGTTAAGCACTTAGGGAGAAGCCATTGATGGTCATGGCTATGTTTCTCCTCAAGGGCAAGGTGAACAACCCATCCTGAAACACCCAGCTCAAAGACTGAGCAGCCTGGACCCCCCGCTCAGGGATTGAGGGGTTGAGAACTCAAACTGGATGGCAGTGTCCTCCAGGAAAGAAGAGCATTTTCTCCTGTAGTTTTCCACCAAACATTACATACAAGTTCCATGTTTGGGGATATTTGGGTTGGAAGTGTGTTACTTCTTTTCTTTGGCTTTGGGTAGAAGTCTAGACAGAAAATCCATTTCCAGCAGGGCTCTCTGGTTAACTGTATTCCCAGGAGATGACTGCAGTGTTGCTTTGCTTCTCTGTCTTCCACTGTGGAGCCCAGGCTAGGCTGCAGCTCAGGATTTCCCAGGTACTGTGACTACCAGGCCGCTTCCAGCTCAGCTCAGGACTCTGTGGTCCCCTGAAGTTTAATTTTGATGTGTTTTACTGCAGTTCTCATTCCTCCGCATGGCTGTTGTGATTTCTCTATGGGTCTTTTTCTTCTGGAACTTCCTGGATTCCTGCTTTGTATTCTATTTCTTCTCTAGAACCATTTTTTTGACAGATGTGGAGTTTCCCAGGCTGATGTATTCATTGTATTTTCTTGCCTATTATCTTCTTGGAGATTAAAAAAAAATGGGTCTGCTAATCCTTCTCTGGAACTTTGATTGTCATCTAGAGCTCTTTCTTGAGGCCTGGTTTTAAAAGATTTACCATGTTTTTCTTCTTTCCATGGAAATCTTTTCCTTGCCTGCAGGTTTCACCTGCTCCATGCCTTCTCCATGTATTTTGTACCTCGCTGTCCTTGATTATCTGCCATCTGTAGCTGTGTGTTCTTACTCAAGGTTGAATGGCCACAGCTAATTGGACTGTGCTCCTTAATTGGGCCTCACTGAGGGTGAGGGAGAATGGGCTGGATCACTCTCGTTTCCTTCCAGCCAACTGATTGTAAAGGTTTATCACTTCCAAAAATATTCAGGGCAACAGCTAGACTGGGATTTGCCAACAACCAGCAACCGCAGCTGAGCCAAGCTGACGCATGAAGTTAGTCACCACCTTGATGGTCCTCCCTTTCTCTCGTTTGAAAGTCAGGATGCTCTGATGCCTTTGTTGCCCAGGATCCATTTGCTGCTAGGCTCTTGCTTGTACCCTCTGTTGCTTTTGACAGCAGCGTCCTCGAGAGTGGTGTGTGCATGCATGCTAACGGGTTGTTGCAGGTTGAGCGTCTGGGTGTTTACTCTTACTGAAGGAATCCAAATAGGCTTTATGAAGTGGGAAATGGTATCTCAAGATCTCATTGATGCCAGGTTTAACTCCATCAAGCATGAATATTCAGAACTAGAAGCCAGCTGCTGCTGAGACGGTTGGCATAAAGAAAGAAGAAAACAAGAGAGCAGGGGAATGTGCAAAATTCATTTTGTTTCCGAATCATCTTATGAAGTCACCTTGCCACCAAGGGCTTTTCCTGGTGGAATGGATGCTTGAAAACTTCTTCCATTCTTCTTCTTTTTTAAAAAGGTAACCTGTAGTTTATTTAGCAAAGAGAAAAAAAATACATGCTTCTCAGAAGAATGAGCAGAGGACCTGGAAACTGGTTGTCTCTGATTCTCCTTTGAGGTACTGTGTGCAAAGGATATGGGCTGTGAAGGTCCTTGGATTTAAAAAAAAAAAAATTATTACCAAGGTGCTCTAAAAGGGGGTTACAGTTGCATAAGTAAGGTAACAAGTACATTTCTTGTCAAACTTGTTACCCCTTCTATGATTTCTTTTTTTCTTTTATATTTTTATTGTAAAAATTCGGTACAGAGGGGTTACAGTTACATGAGCAAGGTAATGAGTACATTTTCTATTGAGCATTGTTGCTTCCTCTTTTGATTTCCTCCTACCACCCCTTCCCTCCCACCTCCACAACTACTCCCCCCCCCCAGCCAAAGTTGTAAGGTTTGTTTCCAACATAGTGTTTTATACATCTCATTGTTACAATGGGTCAACTGTATCCTTATTTAAGCATTTTGTTTTTTCCCTTTCCCTCCCCGAATTAGAGAACTGTATATACAGGATGCAGGGCACCAACATCAAATACGGTAAAAACAGGGGTTATAGGGGGTATACTGTGGGGGGGGGGGAACATACAATGAAACAAAAAAAAAAAACCCACATGGTCGGGCTGGGAAGGTGGCCCAGTGGTAGAGCGCTTGCCTTGCATGCCTGAGGCCCTGGGTTCGATTCCTCAGCACCACATAAGCAAAAAAGAAAAAAGCTGGAAGTGGCACTGTGGCTCAAGTGGTAGAGCGCTAGCCTTGAGCTGAAGAGCTGAGGGACAGTGCCTAGGCCCAGAGTTCAGGCCCCACGACTGGACCCTTCCCCCCCCCAAAAAACAAAAAAAACCACATAGTACATTATAAATATGTTAGAAACAATAGCAAAAAAACATAGGTCCCATGGTTTCTCTTATTTGCAATAACTAGTACATGTGTGGGACAAGCAGAAAAGACCGAAAGCTATGTACATATGACCATATAAGATGACGTTAAGCGAAATGAGCCCCAAGATAGGGACACAAATATCTTTTTTCTTTCTTGCTATTGTTTCTTTGTTTTAATTTAATTTTATTGTAAAGATGCTGTACAGCGGGGTTACAGTCACATGAGTCAGGTGATGAGTGTATTTCTTTGTTTTAATTTTATTTATTGTGATGATGCTGTACAGAGGGGTTACAGTCACATGAGTCAGGTGATGAGTGTATTTCTTTGTTTTAATTTTATTTATTGTGATGATGCTGTACAGAGGGGTTACAGTCACATGAGTCAGGTGATGAGTGTATTTCTTTGTTTTAATTTTATTTTATTGTGAAGATGCTGTACAGAGGGGTTACAGTCACATGAGTCAGGTGATGAGTGTATTTCTTTGTTTTAATTTTATTTTATTGTGAAGATGCTGTACAGAGGGGTTACAGTCACATGAGTCAGGTGATGAGTGTATTTCTTTGTTTTGGTTTTATTTTATTGTGAAGATGCTGTACAGCGGGGTTACAGTCACATGAGTCAGGTGATGAGTGTATTTCTTTGTTTTAATTTTATTTTATTGTGAAGATGCTGTACAACGGGGTTACAGTCACATGAGTCAGGTGATGAGTGTATTTCTTTGTTTTGGTTTTATTTTATTGTGAAGATGCTGTACAGAGGGGTTTCAGTCACATGAGTCAGGTGATGAGTGTATTTCTTGTCGAGCATTGTTACCACCTTCTTTGTTGTTCTCCACTCTCCCTTCCCTTCTCCCCCTCCCTACTCCTCTCCCCCGAAGTTGTAAAGTTCATTTCCAAAGTATTGTCTGTGGGTATCATTGTTGCAGTGAGTCATCCTGTGTCTTTGTTTCGGTGTTTTGTTATTTCCTTTCCCCTCTCCAAATTAGACAAGTGTATATACAAGATGCAAGGTACCAAAATCAAATACAGTGACAACATGGGGAAGAACATGCAAAGGAAACAAGCCCTCATAGTACATTAACAACAACAACAAAAAGGCCTCTTGTGTCCATATCTTGGGGTTCATTAACATCATTTTATATGGTCATATGTACATAGTTTTTTATCTTTTCTGCTCATCTGATAAAATTGTCCTAGATTAATACTAATTATTGTAAATGAGGGAAACCACAGGACCTATATTTCTTTGGATATGGCTTACTTCACTTAATATGATTTTTTCCAAGTCTTTCCATTTCCTAACAATTGGGGTAATGCCATTCTTTCTGATGGGGGCATAGAATTCCATTGTGTATATATACCACATTTTCTTGGTCCATTTGTCTACTTAGGGGCATCTGGGTTGGTTCCATATCTTAGCTATGGTGAATAATGCTACGATGAACATAGTTGTGTTGGTAGCTTTAGTATGGCCTTGTTTGTGGTCATTTGGGTAAATGCCCAGAGTGGGATTGCTGGGTCATAAGGGAGCTCTATGTATAATCTTTTGAGGAACCTCCATACTTCTTTCCAGAGTGGTTGAACAATTTTACACTCCCACCAGCAATGCAATAGGGTTCTCTTTTGTCCACATCCCCTCCAATATCTTTTGTTATTAGAATTCCTGATTATAGCCATTTTAACTGGGGTGAGGTAGAATCTCAATGTTGTTTTGATTTGCATTTCTTTTATGGCCAGAGAGGTTGAGTATTTCTTCATGTATCTATTGGCCATTCTTATTTCTTCATCAGAGAAGCCTATAAGTATTTAGCCCACTTATTAATGGGACAGTTGTTTCTTTGAGGATTTGTTTTTGGAGGATTTTGAGTTCTAAGTATAGTTTAGATATGAGACCCTTGTCTGTTGTGTGGCTAGTGAAGATCTTCTCCCAATCTGTGGGCTTTCTATTGATCTTACTAGCTATGTCCTTTGCCATGCAAAAGCTCTATAGTTTAATGCCATCCCATTTGTCCAACCTTTCTTTGATTAGGTCCTTAGGTTTTGTTGGGAAAACTCGTCAGTCCAGCTTATGGAATTTCTCTCGTAACTGGAGGATGATTCTGGGTTGGCTGTCACACCAAGAGACATCCATAATCCACAGACTTGCAAGAGGCTTTCCTGGCTTTGTTTTCCCCAGCTTCCCTTTGTTCCCCATGTCAAGCTGGCATGCTCATTGCAGAGGCTCTGACCATTAGCTGCACTCATTGGCCATAACTTTCTACCCATGTGAAGACCCCCATGCACATAACAGGCCTTGCTCTCGGCAGGCCTGGCCCTTGAGGGAATGAAGTCTAGCAGCAGGACCAGGCATCTCTGTGCTGCCGAGTTTCTCAGGCTGGGTTTTATTATCACCACCTCCTCCTCATGGAGCCTCTTAGACTTTCTTCCTCTGATTCCCGCCCTGAGATTTGAAT